AAAAATAAAAATATTATCTTCATGTTACAGAGCAAAAGTCCGAAGCAGTCAATAAAATTCTTTAAAAAAGGACTGTAAAAATTAAAACACCGTATCAGATATAAAAATAGACCATGAAACAGTAGTAAATAATGTTTCTTCATTTTAAATTTTAATATTTTATTTAAAGTAGTCTAAAAATTATCTTCCAACGTGTAAATAATATATACCATTTATTATTGACATTTCAAATTTTTTTGTAAGGAGTATCTTACACTTACCAAAAATCTGAATTTGTTTTTGAGGGTCTCACTATGCAGTTCAAGCTGGCCTTGAACTCGATATATCGCTAAGGCTGTCCTTGAACTTGCAGCATCCTCCTGCCTCAGCCTCCCAAGGACTGAGTTTTCAGGCATGTACCATCATGCCTGGCCAAACATCTGAATTTAGACCAGCTCTGACTCTTAAGTGCTGAATAGCTATGTGAGGTTAGTGCATATCATAATAAACATCTTAGCTCTGTATACTTTATATTGTTTTAATTTATTACAGTAAACATATGTTCTCATCTGACTTGTATGATACATTTTTTCAATTAATTATGTTTATTGGTACATTTTAGGTATACATAATAATCACATGCATCATAGGGAATTTGTACCTGTACATGACATATCTTGATTCTTCTTTTTTCCCATTTCCCTAGTATAAATGAGGACCAAAATGTGTAATAGATATTGTGAAATAAGCAGAAAATGTTCAAATGAGTAGGGGAACTACGGAGCGGGTCAGAAGAAACAAAGGAAGGAAAAGGAAAAAAAATGAGAAAAGAGGGGTTGAAGGGAGGGGAGGGAAATAATACAGTTTGTAACTGTTCATGGATAAAAAATTTAGATCAATTTAGAAAAATAAGGATCCTCAATTCACTGTCCAAAATAACAAAAACAAATTCACACATAGGATCACATTATATAAATTACAGGGATAATATATTGATCTGGAAACCAACTACCCAAATGGCATTTGGTTAACTATTTTTCCATAAAGAAAATAGATACATATATGCAGTTTGTGTGTTATATAATTAGACACCTATGTTACATTGTATGCCACAGTAATGGGCAAAAATACAAATCAAAAAATTTACTGATGAAGAAACTGATGGCCAACAACATATAAAAATTCCTTTATATTTCAACACTCATTGGAGAAATCCACACTAATTCTATACACTCTTTCTTAGGAATGTACAGATATCGACCAGATTCAATAATCAGTGTTTGAGTAATACGAAAACATTCAATATTTTAACTGTTAAATGTTTAGCTTACAGCAAATAAAATTACATAAATTTTTTTCATTATGTGATAAAAAATTTGCATTCTTGAAAGTACCATAGGCTGATGAGACAAAACTGGGTAATGCCAAAGAGAGGAGATATTTTAAAACTTGCTAAAAGAAAATTAAAGGAAAATCTAAAGGGAACATTGCTCAATGAGTCACCTGATTTGGTCTAGAGCTCCATTTTTCAGCTCCATCCTTAACAAAAATAATAAAATCCAAATAAATGTACAGTCTCAAGAAGCATATACCATAAAAGACAGTGAATTAATGATATGAATTTTCATTAAATGTTTAATGTAAAAAATGAATACTATGTTGAGACACTAATTTTATAATCTAACATGCTCCTAAAATCCAGAATTTTGAGGAGTAATTTTTAAGAGCCAATTCTCTGGCTCTCTTTCATTTTAACATTTATTCAAATATTAAAGCTGATAATTTTAATTTTTCTCAATTGCCTTTGTACATCTGTAATATCAGTAGAAGAGAACTTGACATACAGCCAATTTTCTATTTAAATCTTTTTTTTTTTCAAACTTTAGGCAATGGGTAAAGAATCCATTCTCATTTATCCTTTTCTTACAATCCATTCATTAAATATGAGAGATAAAGAGAATCTAGTTTATTAAATATAATAAACATGATTTTTAAATATTCAAGTAAATATTCAAATGCTTTTCAAAATAAAATTTTCAAGGGTTATATTTCTGCAGAGAAATTTGAAAACCATCAGGAGACTGACAAAATATTTGTCATATTATTTTTCCATGTTGTTTTACTAAAGTTGTATTATTACAGAATTACAATATTATTAGAAGAAAAAATTGCCTCCTACAAACACAGAACCAGTCTTGGAGCCTGTTAATGTCACAGGCACACAAAAGCATCTGAAGGAAGGTCACAGTCATCACACTGACACTGCAGAAAAGGATATACCTAGAGGTTGAAGAGCAATCAAAACACAGGAACAAAACAAAAAAACAAAAGCAAACAAACCAAAACAAACAAAAATGCCAGCCTCTGGATTCTGCTGCAAGTATTCTTTTTGTCATTTATTTCTTTTCCAGGACAGTTCCTCACCTGAAGTGTTTCTGTTCAAATGGAGAAGGATAAGGTGTACACTTAACCCATAATGGCAGACTACAAAGTTGATATTTTAAAAATCACTTATAAGTTATAGGAAAACAATTCTGGAAAATGTTTTTCTATTTTAGTCTGCTTTTCTAACCTTTGCTTAATTTGGCTGAAAAATAGATTTCTATTTCTTTAAAGGTCAAAAATCAATCTTTGTTTTACAAAATAATCAAATCATAAAATCATTTGCATCAGTTGCACTCTAACTTCAGTATTCATGTCAGTAGTTTAGTAGATTGAATGAGTAATATTTTGCATTTTACCCTTTTTCAAGATATTCACACTGATTTTGAATTCACACTGATTTCATAGCAACTTAACAGTCAGGTAAATTTGGGTAAATTCCACTTTCACCTAGACTTTCTGAAACAAAACACCCTAAAGGAAACATTAAAACACAGTTGAAAGCTTTAATTGGTAGTTCCAAGAGGGATACTTTTATTTATTATTTATATTGAAACCCCAGTTATAAAAAAATAATTGGAAGGCAATAGGAAGATGCAATTTTTATAAATCCCCTAATTCAGTTAAGACATATTTATTGGAGTTTAATATTTCACTTTTTATCAGGTGAAATATTCAGAAAGAACCAAGTATGGCCATAGTCAAATTTTATTGAGTTTCTAATGGATTGTTTACAACACTGAGGTTACATATGAAGCTCTTTAAGTGGGTCTTCAAATAAATAAACTGCACTTCGGGAAAGGGTAATAGAAGCTCATTAAAAACAAGTGAAAGTTTGTATAGAGACAATGTTTGTCTCTGTCTCTCTCTTTTCTCTCTCAACCTACTCTCTGTCTTGAGCCAAGATCAATAACTAATTGTAACATTTTAACTCATTTTTGCTTTGAAATGTAGTGTTGGTTTATATACATACCATATGACCATTGTTTTACTGCATCCCATGAAAGCTTGCTCTGGTTTAATGAAGAAACAGTGGGTCCCCAAAGGAAGATGAAGAGGATTTCTGTGAATCTTCTCCATCAACTAAGGATTTTCTCAGGTTGTAAAGATTACAACTTGCACTGGTCAGCTAAGCCTAATGCAGTTTTGAATTTGGTAAGGAAAGAAATTAAATCCAAGAATTTATTGAAACAACTCACAACATCAAATTGTTTCTATTTTCTTATTCCCAGAAGACTTTCCATAGAATTAACCTGTCAGAAAGCAAGAAGGAAAAACCCCTGATTTATTACTAAAAGCAAAGTGAAACTTAAACTGGTGGGATATCATAGAAAGGGTCCTAAAGGGAAAGAATGCATTGTGTTTAAGTTGACAAAAGCAGATTGGTAAGTCATAAACTAAAAATCTAGTGTAGACAGGTATTTAATTTGGCCTTCTAGCCAATTCGCCCCTAAAGATTATAAAATCTTATTGTAACTTAATTTTAAGCTGATAATTCAAATAATGCATGAGAATTGACTTACTTGTGGACTCCAGATAAGAAATCTCTAAGAGCATAAGGATTTCACAGAATCAAAGTCATTTACAAAGGATTCATAAAAGAAAAGGCCAAAACCAAATTTTATGGGATGACTAATAGAAAAGAACATTCATTTTATTTCATTGTAAATTTTTAATCCAAATATCAAACCTGCTCTCAATTGGTAAGTTCAGAAAATCTAATCATTTTCTAAATGTTGTTGAAAAATATTATTCAGTTTCAAGAGTTTTTGAAAATTTCAAACCTCTCTTCATCAAAGAAATGAAAAAATACTGATCAAATATTACTCCAATCTATAGAGATTAAGGAAAAGAATCAGTTCAAGAATATATCCTTTTCATAATAGGGTCTCCTTGCTGCACTTCAATGTAAAGTTAATGAATAAAATCTATTTTCAGATTATCTACTTTATGTAGTCTCATTGAAAATATTTTTATAATTTCAGGAATTGCAACTGATTGGTTATAAAATTTTTCATTTTTACAGATAAGTTGTTTAACGAAAATCACTGTTGCACATAATACATGTACTTTCCCTGTGCATCACACCACAGATACTGTGTAACAACAAAGCACCAAGGATTAATACTTTCAGATACCAAGAGTACCTCTTACATACCTCAGCGGCAAACTGCTGCAGTCCACCAATATTAATTGGTCCTTCTTCAGTGGCATATAAATTACATCCTCCTACACAAAGATCAGAAGTTGGACACACCATTCCACAAGTAAGACCAAGTGGGTTGTCAGAAAAAATCTTCCTAGCAGCTCCATAATAGTTCTACAAAAAGTAAAATTTTATTACATAACAATGACACTTAATTCAACATCAAAAATGACAAATATATTATTTTTTTAGATAGCTGGATTAAAGATCAAGATGTCAAGATGTATATATGATATATATGTATTTATATATATTAAATTAGTATTTACCATCAACTAACAATAGCAGAGTAAGTGACATGTAGGGATACTTAATATACTCTATATGGATAAAAGAATAATCAATTTTAGAAAAAAAATCAAAATTCAAAAACACATTCTATTAATAATTTTAATTCATAAAGCATTTTAATGTATTTTGCCTTAAATTATTCTTTTCAGTTTAAAAAAGTAACCTAAGTAGCACTGTTGATCAAGATAAAAACTACCCTTTAAAATAACAACACCAATGAAGGTTATATTCAGGCAATGCTCCACATACCTAAATTAAGAGCAGTAAGAGCATTCTCCTCATTCATCTGGTTCATCTCAGAATACTAAGTTTTATGGCACTCTGTGCTGATTAGCATCCTTTACTAGCACCCCATTAACCAAAGACAGGCATGAAACACATTTTACAGGGACTCCTGGACCAGATCCAACAAGTTCATCTTTCCTCACTCCTTTCCCTACACTTGACTACTGTATTATAAAATAGCTTAGACGACCTCTAATTTTCACAATAATTTTTGAATTCTATTTTTTAAAAACATATTGGACAACTATACTTTTTACTGACTAAATAATAAAAAATGAGCTCAATATTGGGAATATTTTTCACACTAATCACAAAAAAGAAGTGGGCACGAATAATGCCACCGAGATCTGCCAAGTATATCAAAAGAAAAAAAAAGTTAGACTGTAACAGTCAAGAAGAGCCTAAAAAGACACAACAAATAAATAAAATACAGTGTCATAGATGGGATTCTTCAATAGATAAGGGACATTACATAAAAATAAAATGTTAATAGGGAAAATTACATGCAGGTGTATATAGAAATTATTGTTAGATTTTTTTCTGTAAGTCAAAAGCTGATCAAGAAAATACAGTTCAAGAAAAATGTGGGTTTAATATGCTTAACAGTATGAAACTAAGGCACTTATTTTTCCTCTGGCTTTTATTTAAATATTATTTAAGGTTTTTGAGAATATACACATTGTTTCTAGGAAGAAACAAAAGAAGAACATTAAAATGTAAACATATATTCTCATTGACTATAGATAATAGTCAATAATAATAACAACCACCACCAAACTGGAGATATACTTAAGTGACTGAACACTTGCCTAACCTATGTGAGGCCCTGCATTAAATCACCAGCAGTGCAAAAATAAGAGCAATAATAAATCAGGAATGATATTTACTATTTATCTACATTTAATACATTCTCAGCCCTTCAAAAGTCCTTTATTTAATCTGCTTATCAATAATCTTTCATTATATAAGATATCCAGGACTCAATCCAAAATTTCTGAACACCTAAAGAAACAGAAATAAATACTAGATAAACAAGATAAATAAAAAAATAAGTTTTCCAGAAATTGAAGTTAGTGGAAAATCTTTAAAATAATCTTGATGAAAATTCAGGAAAAGACAAATATAAGAGATAAAATAATAAAAAAAATCAGAATACTAAAATCTATTTTAAAATAATCAGACTGTCACTCTTTGATGAAATAAAATGTTTTAAGTTAGAAATTAAAACATGCTTCTCACAGCACGTGTGTTGCTTAGCGATATTTGTCTTGTTTAATGTGTCCCCTTAGCAACCAATGGTTTTGCCTGACACGTAAAGAATGACTCTTCCTTCCTAAATGCATAGTAGGAATGCAGTATGGAATTCAATTCTTAAAAGCAAATATTTGGCCAAGGATCAAACAACAGATAAATGATACTTCCATGATTCATATCAAACCATATTGTTCATGACTAATACATAATAAAATCTAGTTACAGTAAGTACTCTTATTTAGGTACAATCCATATATCCATGTAAACACACTCATGGATGCACATGTGCACATACACACACACAGCTCTTTTCAATATAAACTAGAAGACTTATAACTACCTTATTGAAATCATTTTGTATTCCATTAAATGAATTTTATTGCAAAATTCCTTAAGTTGTAAAATTTCCATCAGTAAATTTTCAGCACATTGAGTTATATATTGTAGTTTCTTAGATATGACTTTTGAAACATAGAATGAATAGAAAAAAAAGTAGTTCAATTGAATTTCATCAGAATTTTAAGCTTTTGGGCTTTAAAGAGTACTATCAAGAAAGTGAGAAAGAACTCATACAATAGGATATTTGCAAACCTTGTACACAATAATGCCACTGCCCAGCCTGAAGATGGCCCTTAGCCTAAGCCCTACACTCTTTCTAATCCACAGACGAGTGAGTCAGACAGCATTGTAAACCCTGGAGGGCACAGCCTCAGGGGACAGTTACATTATGTTTTCTTCTTCCTTGTTCCCTTTTTTCACATGCCCTGATCACGAGACCTCTGCCTTCTCTTCCCGTTTGTCTTACACTACAAATAAAGAGCGCTGAACTCCAGGCAGCCATTAGCTCACCAGGTTATGGTTCCACCTGGTCCCAGTTTTCAAACATAATTTTGGTATGTATAATTCTTTCTTGGTATTTTTCAATTTTCTTCATCTCCCACCATTCTCCCCTGCTTAAAACCCTACACTGTGTGGGTCGCAGCATGATAAGAGATTTGTTTCTAGAATATATTAATATTTACAACTCAACAATAAAAAGACAATCTAATTAAAATGGGAAAATAATAAAAATATTTCTCTTTAAAATATAAAAGACTCCAATAAGCATGATAAAGTTGGTCCTGGTCATTAGCCATCAGAGAAATGCAAATCAAAACTCCAGTGAGATAGTACTTACACATTTGGAAGGCTATAGTTAAAAAAAAAAATAGAAAGTTTGGCAATGGTGTAGGGAAATGAGAACCTTCATACATTGTTCATATGAAAGGAAAATAGAGTAGCTACTTTGAAAAGTAGTTTAACAATTCCTTACAAGATTAAAAATAAAATTACCATATGATTCAGCAATTCCATTCTTTAGTGTACACTCAAGAGAACTGAAAACATATGTCCATGCAAAATCTAATGTTCATATCAGAATTATTCATAACAGTTAAAATGTGGAAGTTACCCAATTGCACATCAACTTATAAATGGCTAAATGATGTACGTACCCATACAGAAAAGACAGTATTTTTAAAACAGAAAGGAATGAAGTAACAATATATACTTTAACATGAATAAACCTTGAAAAGATTATGCTAAATCAAAGAATAAACTCACAGTGGACCACACGTGATTGCACTTATGTAAATTGTCCATCTTAGGCAAAACTATGAATACAGAAAGCAGATGAGTGGTTTCTCGGGCTGGTAGTCTGACATAAAATGAAGAATGGCTGCTAATGGTGTAGAATTTCTTTCTGGAGTGATAAAAATGTTCTCAAATTAACTATGGTGATTACTGTGACTCTAAATATGGTGATGGTTGCAACTCTAAATATGCTAGACATCACTGAATTATCAAAAACATTTACATGGGAAAACATAAGGGATATGAATTATATCTCAATAAAGATTTTATTTTCAAAAGTATAATTAAGATATAGGGAATTATTTAGGCAATTCAGCAAAATAATATATGAGTAAAATTATTAGGTATAAAACTGGACAATGTTTTAGTGGACAAGGACGCCTAATTTTGAAGACATTTCTCTGAACAGAAAAAATGCATCTGACCCTGACACAGGTGAACATGTAAATTCATTCTGAACTTTTAATTAATATTACTGTCAGGTAAAAGGGCCGAAGACCAAGACCAGACCAGGCCACAACAAGCTTTTATTAGGGGAATAGATCTGCCGGGCTGTCTCTGAACAAAGGAGAGCCAAAGCAATATGGCTGGGGCAGGGAGAGTCTTTTATAGAGACTGGGGTGGGGTTTGTAGGGGCAGAGGTGGGGTTGAGTGAGGTAGTGACTAGGGAATGGAGGAGCCCATGATGTCACTAGGTGGTAGGAGGTGAGCGAGTATTAGGTTACTTTCTAGGCGGGAACAGGGGCATACTGGGAAGAAGGGTTTATTCTTTGGTGGGAGCAACCATCTCGGCATGACGTCACACAGGGGAGGGGGCAAGGCACCATAGGAAGAGGGCAGCTACTATACATAATAGCTGCTGAGGTGGTGGGAGACCTATCAATTACACAGCAGAATAAGCCAATTATTCTTTTTCCTAGAAAGCTAAAAAGTTCTTCAGTATCCCGGTATCCCTTTACAGTCAAACATCTGATCCTCTCACTACCTGCAATTGAGCAGTTAATCGCTACTACTGATAATCTCAAAGTCAGTGGTCACTACTCTTTCCTGCTTTTGCCTGGCATCTTAGGTACATCTGACATCATCAATTAATAAGTGTGTATTGATTAACTCATGACTAAAAAAGGGTTACTTCTAATGCAGAAAAAAAAGAATGTGATCAAATTATTCACCTAAGGATTTCTGCACAAGAATAATGATTGTTTCAGGAGCCTCAATATGAGTTTCAAGATTGCACTTAAAATAATACAATAAGAAATTAGACATCTGTTTGAGGAAATTCAACAAAGAAATTTTAAAATTAAACTTATGGCTCATGATTTGGTGTAGACGTCAAACAAGTGGAACCTAAGCTACCACTAGATACACTGACCACCAAATGGCCTAATAATAAGGACTCCATGTGTAACCTTTTCACCAAAACAAAATGTGCAGGAAGATCTTAATATTTCTAAAAGTTAGTAATGATTTATTGAGTGCCTTTTTAAGTCAAAAGTATACTGTGTGTTTAAAGAAAAAAAATCAAATAATTGCTACTTGGCACCATGATGTATTAGTGTCACAGTAAGAAGTCATTTCAGTTTAAGGTGTTTGGCATCAGCTAAAAATGGGTGGGAGTCAAAGTAACTTCAAATGTGACAAGGATAAAATAT